AATGAAGCACCCCAAATAATTCTTGCCTTTTAGTTTTGTTGTATCAATGGCTCTTGCTTGGGCAAAGTATCCAAGCAAGAGGCAGATTCTGGTAGGTTTAAACTTGCCTTCATAAATTGGCTGCATAATGTCTTGCTGTATTCAGTACCAGATAAACACAGGATAAACCAAACTCACTGTCATTGAGTTGATGCCGACCCATAGCAGCCCTGTAGGACAGAGAACTGCCTCATCTTTTTCAGAGAGAAGCATGCTGTTAAGTGCTGTCGAATCTGTTCTTAGCTGTCAACCTTGTGCTCCGGACCTTGTGGCTCGCAGTCTAGTGTTGATCCTATAGTGTTGCACCAAGAGACCGATACAGAGCAGCTATAAAGTGCTGTCAAGTCGGTTCCTTGTGTAGGGTTTCAGAGGATTAGCTGGTCAGTCTGAATCACCGACCTTTTGGTTCAAACCAACCTTGCAGTCAAGTGCATCCTGCAGCGCCACACCAGGACTATGTAGAGCAGAAGGGGGATTGAATTGCTGACTTTTCGGTTAGCAGCTCAACACTTAACCTACTGCGCCACCAGGGCTCATTCTAAACAGTATAAAAAGGCCTTTATGAAAACACATTTGTTTTCACGAACTCTGACATTGTTCACGGAAGTTTGAGTTGCTAGGCTTCTCTATATAATTTTGGTTAAACTTGTTAAGTGCTGTCAAGTCGGTTCTGACTCAGTGACCCTGTATAGGGTTTCCAAAGAGTGGCTGGTGAGCTTGAACCACCAATCTTGCAGTTCTCACCGAATTTGCTATCCAGCACATTAACCCACAGCACCACACCAGGGCTCCTGGGTTAGACTAGCTGTTAGAAATTGCTCCTGTGGGCTTGATTTAATTGAAGGAAGTAACATGGGCTTTGTGGTTTCAGGCATATTTATGAACTTACGTGTTTGTCTTGCTTAGCTGTTTGACTTAGGCAAAACTTAGCTGTTCTGAACCTGTTTCTGCATCTGTACATTAGAGTTGTAACAACAATCTTGTAAAGCTGTGAGGACCAAAGTTACTGATGGGTATCTAGTTCTTTGTACAGTGGTTAGCATGTAAGAACTAATGTTAATGGAAAAAGCAACGTATTGTTGCTTGTTAACAGTCTTTGGCACTTAGCACTGCCACTTCATAACTATGTGTCTTTTGGCATGACAGTTTCTGAACTAGTTTCCTCATTTTAAAAATAGAAATGTTGCTCCTTCAGGGCTGTAGTAAAACAGTTTGAATAGAACAATGGAAGTGTCACAAAAGCAGCATTTACTACTTGTGCCCAGCTATAGAATGAGAAAGCTGTAGAATTTGATGATGAGCTTTCGGGAAGAGTCATGGGTGGTGCGAGTGGTTAATGTGCTTGCTGGCTAACCAAAATGGAGGCTTGAGTCCTCCCAGAGGTGCCTTGAAAGAAAGGCCTGGCAATCTACTATTGAAAAAAAAAAAAAAAGTCAGCCATTGAAACCCCTATGGAGACCATAGTTCTACTCTGTCACCCTCAATCAGAATCTACCCAACAGCAACTGGTAAGCTTTCTGAACCAGTTCTTTTCTTTGTAAATGATTAGGGGGCACATGACTTGTTAAAGGCCCTTTACTCACTTAAAAAAAATTGTATTGCAGTGAAAATAAACACAATAAAGCATGCACCATCTCAAATTCTGCATGTACAATCCTGTGGCTTCATTACCTTCTTCAATTTATGCTTCAATTCTCACTATCTCAACTTTTCCAACCAATTCACCAACATTAACATAAGCTCAGTGTACCCTAAATAAAGCCCTCCTCTCCCAGCATCTCGCATCCCTGATAACCACTGATAAAACTTTGGTTTCTGTAAGCGCATATTTGTAATGTTTAGTGGGGCCTGACTTAACCTTTTTTTTTTTTTTTTTTTTTTTACTTTTAAAACCAGAATTTCATGCCTCTTTTAAATGGCTAACTTTGGCTTAATTGGGTAAATTTTAGAGTCCTGGTGTGGCCGTTGTGGGTTAATGCGAAGGATTGCAAGGTCCCTTTGAACTTCAAGGTCGGTGGTTCAAGCTCACCAGATGCTCCTCGGAAACCCTATACAGGATCGAACCAATTCAACAGCACTTAACAATTTTTAGAAGGAACTGCAGACAGTTTGTGAATAAATCTGTGGAAAACATCTTAGCCATTGACCATCAGTGTTCCTGGCTCAGAAACAGGTGGCATACAAAAAAACGTGTGGTAAGTTTTGGTGTCAAAGCAAGATGACTGGGGCAAACGGGAACCAGCAATAACCTAGCGTAGTCGGGAGGTAAAGAAGCTGGTAAAGTTTGGGTCTGTTGCAATTATTTTATTACCGCCCAGTAGAAGGGACCTCCCCTAAAGGAGTGAGCCGGAAGTGACGCACACCCCTTGCCGCTTCGGGAGGCTAGGGCCGTAGGAAGAGCTCAGGCCCACGTGCTCCAAGTACTGGCCAGCTGGAGCCTCTGGCCTCTCTAGATCATAGGGCACCTCAATGACACCCCACAGGACAACTTATCGAGCACAGCCATGTCTGGTAACGGTGACACAACTACAACAACGGTGAGTCCTGAGCGGGTGACCCTTATAATTTCTGCCTTCCGGATCATGCGTGCAACAATTGGTCCCCTGATTGCCATCCTCCGTCGTTTATTGGCTGGAACGGCTGTCCGTCACTTTCTTTTTAAAGCTGAGTCCTTTTTAAAGGGCCAGTAGCTGAGTTTCCCTTAGGAAGGGGACGGGCTATTCAGGGAGTGGTGGGGGCGGGATAAAGAGCTGAAGGGATCCTCTCCAAAGGAGCGGAGGTCTGAGTGGGATTCTTGTTATGGTTAGGATCCTGGGCTCTGGATTTAGTGACCCAGCCTGCGGAAATTCGTCTGTACTATAGGATACTGTTCCCCATGATCCTTATATATCTTGTCAGGCCTAAAAGGATCACATACCCTGCAAGTCTCCTTATTGCACACAAACATTTTAGGAATGCGCCCTACCATTCACTCTTCAGTGTTTTTACTGATCACCTAGTAAGTTCTAGGCTACTAGGGTTGAGAAGTGCCTTGGAAGGAAGCCCTGGTGGTCTACATCCAAAAGGTCACAGTCACTGAAAACACCATGGAGCACAGTCCTCCTAACACCATGGGATTGTGTTGATGCCAACTGTGGCAAGTGGTTTTGTTTTGTTTTTAGCCCAAGATTACTCAGAGTTCCCTAGTTGTGATACACCATTGGGTTACTGATGTGAATGGGGAGACCACCCTTGGGACTTTGGCCTGTGTGCAGATCTAAGCTTCAGAGCCACTGAAGGTACTGCAAGCCTGAGATAAGAAAGAGGTGGGCAGCTGCTTATCTCTCTCCCTCCAGCATCCTAAGGAATGGGATTGTGGCTTTTGCTGACATTTCATAGCATTGAACTGGGAGTTGGAAGACTCTAGTTTCAGTTCTCTGAATGACCCTGGGCAAGTCACTTTACCCCTGAGGACCATCTTTGCTTCTGTAAAATGAATGGTCCCAGAGATGCCTTTCCTGAGGGTTAGGATTACTTTCAAGATAAATTGAAAACAGTACAAAAACCAAACCAAACTCAATGCACTGGAGTCATTCTGACTCATAACAACCCTAAAGGACAACACAGAACGGCCCCATAGGGTTTTTATGGATGCAGGCGGCCACTTCTTTCTCCTGCAGAGTTGGCTGTTGGGTTCAAAACTGTCCATCTTTTGGTTAGCCACCAAGCACTTTAACTGCAGTGCCACCAGGGCTCCTAAAAGACAATAGTGCTCTATAGACACTATTTCTTAGTGGAACAATTTGACTCAAATATGAGGTGCAGATTCAATGAGAGTAACAGTTCTAAGATTCCTTTCTGTGGGCTCCCTATTGCCTAGTCTGCAGACTCCCTGTAACCTAGATTTTAGTGGCTTTGTTTGACATTTTGAGCTTTACCTAACTTGCACAGGATCTCCCAGGGTGTATTTATTGGAGAAGTGATTATAATGGAGAACACTCAAGTCTGAGAGCAGATGCTTTGAGACCAGATGTTTGTCTGCAAAAGAACCCCATAGGCTGAAGATCCCAGAACTGGGAAAGTTGAAAGTATCGGCAGTGGCTACTGCAAACAGTAGATCCAGAAGGAAACAAGACCCTCTGCCTTGGACTGTAGAACCCAGTTCTACCTGCTTGACACTGAACACCTTTTTCCAAAGTGCCCTGGCAAGAGGAAGAGGCGTTTCCCTTTGAGTTCTTAACTTGAGCTCAGTATGTTTGTTGGTGAAATGTGATGTTTCAGTATTTCCTTGTTGGTGAAATCAAAGGCAGCACTCTAGAGGAATAGGCGACTCTGGAGGCAGCTTTGCACAAGAGCAGTCGGCTGTTCAAACTCAAAAGCCACTTCTCAGAAACCCTCAGAATTTCCCTGAGTTGGAATCCACTCAGTGGCACTTAACAACAGCAACACAGATCCAGATAGGATGGTGTGCCCAAGACCACCCAGCCAAGAGACTGAGTAGGATTGTACATCAGATCTGTTGGAAAACAAACAAACCGATTGCCATCATGTCAGTTCTGGCTCTTAACAACTCCTATGTACTGCATAGGAGTTTCAGTGGCTAATTTTTCGGAGGGCGATCTTAATTAAGGCCTTTCTTCTCAGATGCTTTTGGGTAGACTTGAACCACCAACTTTTGTGTTAGCAGCCGAGCACATTAACTGCATGTATCACCAGTTCTTTATGTGTGCCTTCTGGCTAGATTGAGGGACCCTTAGTGTAGCAGTTGTGGTCGCTCTTGGCATCTGGGTGTTTGTTGTACGGTGGATGTTTAGCTTGTCCTCCAGTGAGTCAGCGTAAGTTCCCCTGCGTAGCCCCAGCTGCGCTGCCTTGCAGGCTCCACCCTCCCTGTGGCCAGACTGATGGACTTTATCTGTATACCCAGCTGGCCTGTGCAGCACTCCCACCGAGAACTGCCTTGGCCGCGATGGGCTTCAGGGCTCAGTATCCTGCTTACTGCAGCAGCAGCAGCAGCGCAAGTCCTATTGTCACTTCCCTCTGGTCTCTGCATCTCTGGCTTCCTGAGGAGGGTAAAAGGTATGGAGGAAGGTGAAGGTACCAGTCTTGGAATATTTCTCCCCTCAGAGGCTTGCTTACCTGGCCACTAACCTGGGGCTGAGTTTCCTTTCTTCAAGCCAGTGATTCTGATTCCTGGACAAGGTATTTGAGGAATATGAGGACCAGAAGGAGCTATGATCTGGGGACATTTTTTTTTTTTGCAGGAAAAAAACAACCAAAAGATGAGAGTGATTCGTGTGGGTACCCGTAAGAGCCAGGTGAGTGCAGGTGCAGGGGAGGGAGGTTTGTCACAAGAATTCTGATACCTGGGGTATCACAGGTCGAGGGGCCTAGAGGGATAGTTGCCAGCAGCTCCAGATGAAGGAAATGGGCTGGCTAGGGAAGATAAATGGCATCAAATCCCATGTGGAGTGGTGGGCGTCCCTGAGTTGGGGAAGTGGTCAGCCTGAAGAGAGAGAACTCTCAGGTCAGACCTCCTCGCCTTCCCAAGTGGACATTTAGCGGCTGTCCGAAATCTGATTCCTTCAGAATCTCCCTAACCCTGTTAGAGCCTAAGCTCGCTCAGGGCAGGGGCCAGGGATGGACAAAACTAATCCAACTCTCTGCTCCTAGCTGGCACGCATACAGACAGACAGCGTGGTGACAATGCTGAAAACCCTATTCCCTGGCCTGCAGTTTGAAATCAGTGAGTTCTCTGGGAAGGAATGGAAGCTAATGGGAAGCCAACTATCTCTGGAGGGGACAACACAATATTTCTGGCTTTGCTTGTGACTAAAGCTTGGTCCTATTGCTGCTGAGAATCCTTCTTGGCTGCTGCCCTTACTTCGGAGGGCTCTTTCCTCTTCTGAATCTCTCCAGCTCTGACTACCTGGTCCAGCCTGGCAGTTAGCATTTTCTGCTTAGGGTCCTTTGATCAATACGCTAGACCACAATCCCTGAGGGCAGGACCTGGGGCTTTTGCAATTCTGTACCCAGCTCAAATCTAAACACCATGCTGGGCACAGAGGGGACTCCATAGCTGCTGATCAATGACTGGCTGATGACTGACTTTCTTCTCAGTTGCCATGTCTACCACTGGGGACAAGATTCTTGATACTGCTCTCTCCAAGGTAACGACAGCTTCCCCCCACCCAGTCTCCATCCTCCCCCTCATGCCTTTCCATTCACGCTGAGACTCATTCTCACATGGCAGATTGGTGAGAAGAGCCTGTTTACTAAGGAGCTGGAACACGCCCTGGAGAGGAACGAGTAAGTGAGAGACAGAGAGCCTGGCGTTCGCCCAGAGGCTTGCTGGGAACCCAGAGCTCTAAGGAGCCGGAGATCAACTAGGCTGCTGGGCTTGAGCCCTCAGATAGGCTAAAGGGGGCTTCTCACAGTGGTGTAGTGGGGGTGGGGGGCAGCATTTCACACTTCAGACAAGGAGCCATCTGCTGCCTGAAATGCCAGACTGATGTGGGGCTAGGAGGGTTGGAGGAAAGATCTCTGGGGCCTGATGTCTCTGGAAGGCCAGCTTCCTGAACTGTCCTCAACTCTGCCACAGCAATAGCGGCAGGGTAAGTAAAGAAGGGGTAAAAACCTGCTGCTCAGATGCCTTCTCATTGCCTCCCTCTCTACCTCTCTAGAGTGGACCTGGTCGTTCACTCCCTGAAGGACTTGCCCACCGTTCTTCCTCCTGGCTTCACTATTGGAGCCATCTGCAAGTAAGAGTCCTGCAAATAAGGGACCCTGGGCATAATGTTAACATTTTCTTTCCCTGTGGGACTTGGCCCTCTGCTTCTAGGGCTGTTCTTCCCTGCCTTGAGGGCTGCTGAACATGGCACAAAACTCAGAAAACAGTAGATAGTTGACTGCTGTTACCATCGAATGGATTCTAACACATGGCGACCCCGTGTATGTCAGAGTAGAACTGTGTTCCATAGGGTTTTCAAGGTTGTGACCTTACGGAAGCAGATAACTAGGCCTGTCTTCTGAGGTGCGCCTGTGGGTAATTTCAAACCATCACTATTTCAGCTAGTAATAGAACTCTTAAATAGTCGGGCAACTGAGGGATTCCAGTTGTTGGCTACTGAGAGAATTGAGGTCCTTCTTGAATTAAGATCTCTCCTTCATTCTATGACTTTTCTTCTACCCCCCAGGCGGGAAAGCCCCTATGATGCTGTTGTCTTTCACCCAAAATTTGTTGGGAAAACCTTAGAAACCTTGCCAGAGAGGAGGTGAGTGGGACCTGGAGAGGCACATTGCTGGGTTATGCACAGAAGATGGAGGGCTGGGAGGAAGAGGAAAGGAAGAGCATCGGCCTAGTGTTGACTCTCTTTTATAACCCTGTCTCTGAGCAGTGTGGTGGGAACCAGCTCCCTGCGAAGAGCAGCTCAGCTACAGCGAAAGTTCCCTCATCTGGAGTTCAGGAGTATTGTATCCTTTTAAGGATAGAGGGGCAGCAGCCCAGGAGTTAGACAAGGTCCAGCGGTCCTTAGATATCCTGAGAGTAGAAGGGGCTCCAGAGCAAGGGAACCATGGAGAAGTGGACTGTCTCCTACCACCAGTCCACACCTGCACAGCCCTTTAATGTTTTCTCAGCTTCAGGCAAGTGCTTGGCACTGGGAACTGTGGAGAGTAAGGTTACATTATTCCTGGTTACATAGAGTTTACATGATCAGATATGGAGATAGACCTACAGATATTGATAATACACGGTGATACTGAGCAGAGATTACTTCTAGGAGGAGATAGAGGGTGTTTCCAATTTTTATTTTATATGCTACTATTACATTGGAGTTCTGATGTGGTGCTATTGGATAAGCACTGGACTACTAACGTAAAGATCAGTGGTTTAAACCCACCAGCCTACACACACAAATCCTACACGGGGTTGCTATGAGGCAGAACCGACTCAATAGCACTTAACAACAACTAATATTGCTTTTATTTTTATAGTAAACACACAGTATGTTTTGCAAACACTTATTTAAAAAATACTGTGTACTTAAGTCTCAAACAGGCAGAATAGGAACTGCTTTGGATCCCTCAAATGGGGACATTAAAACACAGGCTTGCAGGTCAAGAAAGGTTACTCAGAGGTATTGGAACCTTGGGCAAGTTATTTAACCTTTATGTATCTCATTTTCATCATTTGTAAATTGGGAATAATATAATAATACCTCATAGGTTGTGAAAATTAGATGAGTTAATATACTACATTTTTACACAAGATAACGCATGTGTTATTTTTTTTTTCAAACTGCACGACACCCTTACACATTAGTTTCCTGTGTGCATTATATATGCACATTGTATGTGCAAGTGCGTTATTTATATGGGCACATTGTATGTGAAAATGTAATAATCAAGTGTTTGAGAACAGTGATGTGTATGGGTGTGATGTGCTGTTGTGAAATGCCATTGGGTTGATTCTAACTCCTATCAACCCTGTATAGGGTTTCTAAGGAGCAGCTGGTGGGCTTGAGCTGCCGACCCTGTGGTTCACAGTCAGTGCTGATCCTACAGGGCCACACCTGTTAGCTGTTATGATTAAGCTGAGAACCAGAAGTCAGCCTCCAAAGACTGTTGGAGGCATAGGGAACAGCATGAGATGCCAGACTGTCCTTAGCATCTCCTCCTCAGCGGGGAAACCTCAACACACGACTGCGGAAGCTGGATGAGCAGCAGGAGTTCAGCGCCATCATCCTGGCCCAAGCTGGTCTGCAGCGCATGGGCTGGCAAAACCGGGTGGGGCAGGTAGGCACTGCCTCCTCCCGTCCACAGTGTGTCTCCCTCTGTGGCGCTGCAGGATAATGCGCCAGACCACAAGATTGGTTTGAGCTGCACGGTCGGCAGTTCAAACTCACCAGCTGCTCCTCAGAAATCCTATACAGGGTCATTATGAGTTAGAACTGACTCAATGGCACTTAACAATTCTCTTCTTCAATACCCTATCTACCACTAATACAAGCTGGAAACCAAGTCCCAGGCTGACAGAGTTGGGAATTGAAGGCCAGACGCCTCCTTTTTCCTACCTTCTGTGATAGTGATAGGGCATCCCCATTCCACTGCCCTCCTTTCTCCCTCCTGACTGCCTTTTCTGCCCTCCCAGATCCTGTACCCTGAAGAATGCATGTATGCTGTGGGCCAGGTATGCTCGATCAGGGAAGCCAACATCTTGTACCCTTCCCTTTAGTCTCAGGCCAGAAATTGGTCTCACAACCTTGTGCATCTCCTTCCCCCAGAATAAGTTTTCAGGTAGGGGGAGGCCTGGGGAAGCCAATGGCCCCAAAGGCCTAAGGGAGCAGAGGAAAATGGGTAATTTCCATCCTTAGCACCACTGATTTGGGTATAGAGCCTGATGTCCGAGGCTGGTTTTTTTTCACCAGGGGGCCCTGGGGGTTGAAGTCCGATCCAACGACCAAGACATTCTGGACCTGGTGGGTGTGTTGCATGATCCTGAGACTCTGCTCCGCTGCATCGCTGAACGGGCCTTCCTAAGGCATCTGGTAGGGTTTGTACCCCACCTGTAGAGTGCTGGGCACTAAGGAACCTGGGAAAGTAGTGGGGAGAGATTGAAAATTAATGCTGTCTTTGTGTTGTGGTACAAGATCAGCACTGAACTAACCACAAGGTGTGCAATTCAAACCCATCAGCTGCAACTTGGAAACCCTCTACAGGGTCACTGAGTCAGAACCGACTTGACAGCACTTAATAGCAACAATATACAGTTGTTGGAATTGGCTTATGGAGATGACTAGGTCTGGGCCCCCTCAAGTGTACCTGAGGGCTGTGGTCACAGTGGAAAGGGCCCTTGGAGCTCACAGGGAGAACCTCTCGTTGCAGGAAGGAGGCTGCAGCGTGCCAGTGGCAGTACATACAGCTGTGAAGGATGGACAGGTAGGCAGGGGAAGCTGGGTGGGAGGGCAGGGATGGACTTGTACATCCTGAGCTGTCAGCCAAGAGCCCAGACTATGCTGAGGCAGACATTTTCTTTTCCAGCTGTACCTGACTGGAGGAGTCTGGAGTCTGGATGGCTCAGATAGCATGCAAGAGACCATGCAGGCCACAGTTGATCCCCCTGCCCAGGTAACAAGCCTGAAGGGTGGGGGAAGGAAGTAGTAAACAAGAGACTGACACAACCTCCTTTTCATTGTCATCACATCCCACTCTTCCTTTACCCAGTATGATGGCCCTGAGGATGATCCACAGCTGGTAGGCGTCACTGCCCAAAACATTCCACGAGGAGCCCAGCTGGCTGCTGAAACTCTGGGCATCAGCCTGGCCAACTTGTTGCTGAACAAAGGAGCCAAGAACATCCTCGACACTGCACGGCAGCTTAATGATGCCCGCTAACTAGCCTGTTGAGCAGTGCTTGTGTCCCAACCCAGTGCCCCATCCTCACTAACTGGGGGTGATTACTCAGAGTAAACTACAGCCTGAGACTTCCAGGGGCCTGCCTTGCCTAGGAACCTTTGGAGGCTTTGCTTCAGTAGGTGGAATCTTCATCTCTTGAAGGAAAAAGTTCAAGCCACTGCCTCCGAATGTAACCAATTCTAGAATAAACCAATTTCGAAGGTTTTCTGATTTTGGTGAGGTTGGGGAAAGAATATGCGCCATTACATAAATGAATAAATGAAACCCTTTCCTCCTTACTTCAAAGTTAGGACCTTTATCCACTTTTCCTAGAACAGCTTTTCTTTTGCATTAGTAGTTCTCATTTCAAATCTTAGGAGTCACCCAATTTCAACAAATCTTGTACTAGATGGTCTCACACTATGCCAATTACTAATTAATTATTAATCCTACAAGTCTTACAAAATTAGAACAAAGACACTTCATTTTTTTAAAAATAAAAACCAAAACTTTAATAAACAAAAGTAGTCCATCTGAAACTCCCCAAACTTAAGGTATTAGTTTTGGATGAGTTATATGCAAAACTCCAGTTCAGAAGCCAACAGAGGCTCAGTGAAGACAGCAGGGATGAGCTTGATTTGCTGGTATCCTCTAGGTGCTTGAGTAGTGCCGGGAGGGAAATCAGGGTGGAGTGAGCCAGCCTGGCTGCCAGTGTATTTCAGTCGCACACACTTGCCTTGCCACCAACTGTGAGCCCAAACTGGAGGCAGTCATTTCTGGAGAAAAGATGATCACAGTACAAAGGGGGTTTGCCTTGGCCAGCCAGCCAGTCCTATGAATAAGGATGGAGGGAGAGCTGGTGTTAAAGCCCCGTGACTTGGCAGCAAAGGGGGCACCCAAAGCAAATTTAGGATCGATTTCTCTTCCGTCAATGCTTGCAAACCAAAGTCACGACTCAATAGTTCTGGCAGAGCACCACGCTGGAAAAGCAAGAGGACGAGACTGCGGCTGATGCGAGACCAAGCAGGCGTCTCCGCATCGACTCACCTTCAGGCCGCCGGGCCCGCCTCTGACCACGCACGTCAGAGGCCCGGCGACATTGGGGCCGCGAATACCAAGCGCCCGGAGCAGGTGTTGCGCCCCCGGCCCTCTGCGCCACGGTAGCCGGGGCCAAAGAAGGGTCCCGGGCGTCTCCCAAGGGCAGCCTGGCTGTCCCCTCTCACCGTGGAAAAGACAGCAAGTGGGGCCCTGTATGCCCTGCGGCTCCGGGAGCGGGGAGAGGCTGGCGAGGCGGGAGGGCGAATGGGACCTGGGGGATAAGGAACACAGGAGGCGACGGGAGTGAAGGCGGAGGGCTGGGGGTCGCCCGTCTTGGGACCAAATGTGGCTCAGCTCTTTACATGAGGGCTGCGGTGGCCCTTAAAAGGGCCTTTGTAGTAGCATGGGAAGAGCCGGGACGTCCCGCTATAGCGCGGGCACCCCTCAGTACTCCTGAGAGGCCTGGGTGCTCTTCTTGCCGCTCGCGGGCGCCTTAGGCCCAACAGTAGCGCTCGTCTTCTTGGGCAGCAGCACGGCCTGGATGTTGGGCAGGACGCCTCCCTGGGCGATTGTCACGCCGCCCAGCAGTTTGTTCAGCTCCTCGTCGTTGCGGATGGCGAGCTGTAGGTGGCGGGGTATAATCCGCGTCTTCTTGTTGTCGCGGGCCGCGTTGCCCGCCAGCTCCAGAATCTCGGCAGTCAGGTACTCGAGCACCGCCGCCAGATACACCGGCGCGCCGGCTCCGACCCGCTCCGCGTAGTGGCCTTTCCGCAGTAGCCGATGCACTCGGCCCACTGGAAACTGCAGGCCGGCGCGCGAAGAGCGAGATTTGGCCTTGGCGCGGGCCTTGCCGCCGGTTTTGCCGCGCCCGGACATGCTGCGCGAGGTAGGAGACAGTTGAATACCTTAACGGACCAGCAAACAGCTTCTCGCCGCAGTCAACTGCTACCGCGCGCGCTAAGGGGCCGCCTTTATAACCCCTAGGGCACACACACCCCCCACGCACTTCTGATTGGTTCACTTCGGTAATACCCGCCTTCGATTGGCTGTTGTTAACCCTTCGGTGACGCACCTAGACAATGGAGGAGCGCCAGCTTATTGGTCGAATTTGAAAACCTTTTGCCCGGGTAAAAAGGCGAGGTGGAGCCTTGGCGGGCAGACGTCCGACAAATTCGCGAAGTAGCCAATGTATGAGAAGCGCGCGAGATTTAAACGCTTTAGTACAAACCAGAACCGGAAGACTTTGGGAGTGGAGTTGGAAGTAGTCAAAAGAGCTTCTGGGAAATCTGGGACGGCCAAGGATTTTTAAAGGAAAAGGGTCAACACTGGTATTAGTGCCGTGGAGTCGACTCCACTTTGTATAAGGTTTCTGAGGAGTGGCTGGTGGGTTTGAACCGCCGTGTGATTCCCAGTTCAGTGAGTAACTTACAGCGCCACACACACTACTGTTGAGTAGTTTTCCCATATGGTTTTGGAAGCTGTAAATCTTTACAGAAGCATTCTGCCTCCTTTCTCCTTCGGAGCAGCTGGCTGATGAAAAACTGAAATGAGGTCCCTGAAGTTATACCCCGTGCTCCAATCTTAGGGCCTAGTACCTTAAGTAGTGAATCGGTTTGGATTCATAGCGAATCAGCACAACAAAACAAATACTGCCCAGTCCTGCGCCATCCTCTCAATTGTTAAGCTTGCGTCAACTAATGCTGCCATTATGCCAATCCATCTTCCTTTTTCACTGACTCCGTAGTGTAGTGGTTACGTATCGGGCTGCGAACCGCAAGGTCAGCAGTTCGAAACTACCAGCTGCTCTGCGGGAGAAAGATGAGGCTTTCTGCTCCTGTAAAGATTTACAGCCTCGGAAACCCTGTTCAGGGTCGCTATGGGTCGGAACCGACTCGATGGCACTTAACAACAAATAACTCCATGTTACTAAGCATGATGTCTTTCTCCAGGAACTGGTCCCTTCCTTGTATGAGAGAATCTCGCCTTCCTTGCTTCTAAGGAGCAACACAGATCTGTTTGTCCTTTGGGCAGTCCATGGTACTTTTAATATTCTCCAACACCATAATTCAAATGCATTAATTCTTTTGCGGCCTTCCTTATTCATTGTCCAACTTTCACATGTATATGAGGTTTTCAATATTTATTCAACATGTTCTTTTTGGGGTCAGTTCTTTCTATTCATCTCTGATGGACTGAAGAAATAGGACAGGGCAGAGACGCTATTTTGTCTCCAGCAAACCGCCCATCCTACTCCAAAATTCCCATATAAGAAATATACCTATAGGAACAACAAAAAGATATAACTTTATTGTCACCATCAGGAGCACCTGGTCCCTCCAGTCTGCGCTTACTAATCAGAACACTTAATTTATAATCAAATGCCAAGTCACCTTCGGGGCTCTATCCCTATCCCCAGTTCAGGTTCTATGCCAAGGCCCAGCAAATTCCTTGGTTATCACGACCCTGAAAGTTGATTTGTAGATAATTGCTTAAAAGGTGCCATATCCTACCTATCCCAAGAGGCTGCAAAGATAGGATGAAGAGTGGCAAGTTGATGAAAGCCACAAGCAAACCTCAAAAAAATAGTCATTATGAGGGCAAGACTAGCCCAGCCTGTCAGTGGTCCAAGGGAAGAGAAATGCTAAGAACAAATATGTAGAATGAAGGGCAAGACAGAGCCTTGGTCCAGAAAGATCTCATCCTGAGTCAGGAACTCTGGAGACTGCAGATAGAGGGCAATAATCAGGGGACTCAGACATCATAGAAGAGTCGGACAAGCTGGTACCGAATGGAGAAGGTGACAGCACTGCCCAGGATCTGCAAGGAGAAATGGACTGGAGTGAGGAGCATGGAGAAAGTGAGACAAGATGTAGAACTCATCCCCAACCTCACCTGCAGCAACAGCAGGAGCAATGTGAGATTTCGTTCATGTGTGGGCCCAAAGACTTTGAGCAGCAAGTTGATGAGGGTCATGTTGTTACACTCAGTGAAGGTACCATCCTCACTCTCAGTCTGGTGCATCGTCACTAGCCGGAGACTCTCTGCTATCTGGAGGAGCCAGAGGTGGCGGGAAGCTCAGTTCATACCTATGCTTCAGGAATGAGAATGTGCCTAATGCTTCTGAATTCCCCTTGGATATGATGTAGGCTTAGGGTCCCCACTCCCCCATTTCAGGATGACTGCCTAAAGCCTTACCTCCTCATTACCCTATTACCTTTAGAATAAAGGTGCCCAAGAAAGAGAGGCTCTTGGTCTTGAACTTGAAGTAGCTCATCTCCAGTTTGCCTGTCTTGGTATTGAGTCTGCAGGAGGAAGAGAGTTTTGTGACTGGGCCGATATTTAAAAGAACTTGCCTCCCTCCCTGTGTGGTTAATTCATAGGAAGAGCCCTGAAAAAGGAATCAAAACTTTGGATCTATTTCTGGCTTTGTTGCTTACACTGTGTGATGAGAGTGACTGTGAGCATTAAATGAAATGACATAAGTAAATGTGCTTTGCACATTATTAAGTTTACTCACATGGAAAACTAGCCCTTCTTTGGGCCCATGCCTTACGAGTAGCATGTATATGAGGCTGGTTTTAGACATTCCAAAAGAAAAGGATATGGTGTCCCTTCCAAACTTCAATGACTACCCTCTCCAACCCTGGTACCCAAAGTGGATACCTGGGCATACGGTGGCGAGGACAGGGGATGATATGCAGGAGCTGAGGCAGTGAGTACAGGAAGTTGACCACCTGGGGCATGAAGAAGAGTAGCATGGTCTTGCTGAAGTGTCCCAAGATGCCCACCACGGCAAAGGTCATTCCAGCAAAGTAACAGAAGGTATCGCCTACGAACACCCGTGATGGGTACCTGTGTGGGGGAAAATATCTCAGCCAGTGGCCAGAGGCATTACAAACTCTTTTTCTCACACCTCACACCATGGGCACTTGGTTAACCCAGTTATAACACAGAGGAGATACCATGGGAAATTTCGGTTCTTCTCGCAACTCTGCAGGACCTGAGGCCCTGTGGTTACTACTCCTGGGGGCTCCACAGCATTGGTCCCTAACTACTGTTGGGTAGAGAGCAATACTACCAATTGACGACCCAGAAAATATTCAACAAAAGTATGCACAGGTATGAATAGGTCCATGTTTGTCACACATTCAGATAGTTATTCCCCTTAACTTCAGGCCCACTACTTACCAGTTATGGTACAGCAGTCCCAAAGTGGTGAAAAAAAAGGGTATCATGAAGTACAGGGAAAAGACATGGTCATCCCGATATTCACCTGTCAGAGTGGGGGAAAAGGGAAGAAAGGGAATGTTAAATCGCCATGTTTCCTGCATACTTTGGTCCTAGTTTTGCCTGCCTCTAAATTCAACAACTCACTACCCCTCTATCACTTAGGTAATTCTTTTTAAGTTAAACTAGTTAAAATGACCCTTGCATTTATTTTTTACAAAGCACAAATGCAGGTGACATAGTAAATCCGTAATTGCACAGAAACTTATAGATAACTAAGAATCTAAATTCTTATAATCTTCTGCCACATTCCTAATTATACACTCGATGGAATCCATTAGCAACAGAGGAAAACCTTAACTTAAAGCACCAAGTTTCCAGGAATTCCTTAAAATGTGTTTTTTTCATTCTCTAATACATGCAAGCCACCTATGAAGCAAATCCTAATTCACCCTAAGCTTCGATATACAGCAAAACAGTTGGGAGGGGGAAAAAACAAACAAACAGTTGGGAAATCAGCATTATTTTTAAGCCTAAAATAGTGATTCTACTCTTTATTGTAATTCCTTCCGTGAAATTTTAAACTTTTGATAATGTTATTTTTAATGTTAATATAAACTGAGTTTTGAACATGACTTCTTACAGATTCAACTAACAGCTTATTAGATACTTATTAGATACCGTCATATCGGCTCCGACTCATAGAAACCCTATGACCAACAGGACATTCATATTTGTTCCAGATGTCTTGAGATAAATACAAATATGATCAATAACCTAGAATTTTCTGGCAAGACTTATTAAAAGTTAAATTTATAATTTTATAGCAAAATAAAGAGTGGAGTGTTTGTTTAAACATTATGGATTAAAAAAACAAAACTCCTTTATTGTATGTGAATTAAGGCCCAAAACTTATTCTCAATATACATTTTATAGATGTGTGTTTTCATTTTTTGAAGAGGGGTTCTATGGGTATTTTTTAGAATCATGCTAACATCAACTCTATATATCCAAAGATGATTGGATCCACTTAACAGACAATGAAAAGGGACTGACGTGCTGACTAATGCTTCAACAGGAATCTGACACACAAATACAGGTTTCATTGCCATACTCCATGGAATTAAAATCTTTCTTAAAATTGTGTTCCTGAGGTTGATCAGTGGACCGTTAGTTCTTTAGGCCCAGAACATAAGAATCTTTTGTACAAAGGCTTCATTCTTCATTCTAGGCCTGTAGTAACTTGAGAGCCTTTTGTAGACTCTGTCTAGCAGTACTTACATCTTCTTAATGCATATAGCACTGTCAGCATATCTGCAGTATTTCTGAGCTCTAACAAAGTCCTCTGGTATTTGACAAATGCCCTCCTGGAAAACTGTAAAGATGCAGGAATCAATTACCATTAATAGTCTGTGGAGTATTACTATTCAGTATTACTTGTTATACCTGTGCTATGATGCACTTCTGTGGGTGTATTAGCTGGAGTGTGTACTGGGAGGAATCTGTATCTCTGTATACCTACTTGATGGCATGTTGCTTGGGCCATATGTTGAAGATGGCAGCTGTGGTGGCTGAGAAGGCAGAGAGGTTGTTCTACCATCATCATTAACATTATCTTAATTCCAACGGGTCCAGCTTGAGGAGTCTTGCCATTCTCTCAACAATCATGGATATATGTTGCCCTCCATTGTGTATCCTTTCTTTTTTTTAAACTTTATTGTGAATTGAGTGAAGTTTTTAGAGATCATTTTTATATTCAGCAATCATACACTTTGCTTCATCTCAACGATTGCAAACACTTCCATGTAATAAAAGTTATCCCACGTCTTCCCTGTGGTTCTTATTTCCCCTCTGCCCTCCTTCCCATTCTTCTAAACTTTGTCCTTAGGTAAAGTGTTGCCATTTTGTTCTTGAATGACTGACCGTTCAATGAGGAACATACCTTATTAATGTTGTTGTTCCACCTCTATACCTATATACTGGCTTGGCTGAAAATCGGGCCTGAACGATAGTCAAGGCCACAGTCTCAAGTTCCTCCAGTCTCTTTCTGACTAGTAAGCCTAGTCTTATTTTTATAATTTTGAGTCTTGTTCCACATATTCTTCCAATGTATCTTGGACCTTCTAATGTGATCCCTTTCAGAGCAGTTGGTAGTGGGAGCCAGACACCATCTAGTTCTTCTGGTCTCAATTGTGGTGACAGATTTTCACATGTTCCTTTGGTCCACTGGACTAGTTGATTCCAAGCATCTTCAAATTTTCATCATTCTTTCTTCCACACATGAAGAGACCAAGAGTTGTACCTTAGATGGCCACTCATGAGCTTTTAAGATTCCAGTTGATACTCACCAAAATAGGTTGTAGAACACTGTCTTTGTGGACTTTTATGCCAACTGACCATGGTGTCCTCTGACATTATGGTGCTGAGCCTCCAGGCCCAGCAACTCATTCATTGTGCATTCTTTCTGTTTCACACTTTCATCAGTGAGTTCTCCAAATACTATATGACTTGAAGTATAGGACTATAGTATAGGACTAGATCATATTTTTGTGAAATTGCCCAGCACAAACTTCATTATCTGCACTCAAAACATTTACAAAGAATAATTTTGCAAATGGGCAGAAACAACTATTTGAGTAATAGCTCATTATCACCCAACTGTTCCTTAAGAGCTTTTGATCCATTAGTTTTGATAAAAGATTTACAAGATTCAAGACTTTTCTTGAATTTCTTGAAGAGGCAATTCTTGATAGTCCATCTCTTTCATGAAACCTTCCTAGTCACTCTCTTATATTTGTTTAAGGCTATTCAAACCTCGGTTTCAATACCAACTTTTACTTCCTATTTGACCTTTAACTTCCCAAGCTTGTTTTTCTCACATGTAAAAGAGGGTTGATGAGAACACCTGTCACATAGAACTATTATGAGATTTAAATGAGATGTTTGAAAAGTGCTTAGCCTTAATAAGTACTTGCTGATGCCCACCAACAGAAACGCCTATAATCAATGTTGGATTTATTAACTTGTAATAAGAGGGACTGTGAAAACCATACCTCATGGAGAACCACGAGACACCTGAGTTAGGAGGGTGTTTGAAGGATTTGTTACAAGATTTTTGTTTTTGTAAAAAATTCTTTTTGGTAAAAGTTTACATGGCAAAGTAAGTTCCCATTTAACAATTACTACACAAATTAGTTAAATTTTTTACAATGTGTCACATTCTCATTAATTCTATTTGAGATGTTGTTTCCAGTAATCTGGTTTCCCTGCCCCCTTACCCCTTCACCTTTGCTTTACAGTAACTGTTGACCACTGGTCTCATATAGATGATTTTTTAAAGGTGTAAAGTACTCATTGGTAATATTTTTTTGTTATTTAGCTACAAGGTGACCTCAGTGGGGAGGTTCAGTTCAAGGTTCATGGAGAATCTCCGGGCGTACTCTTGGGGAATCTTGTCAACTGGTACAGTAAGTCTGGACTTTTTAAGAATTTGATTTCTATTCCACATTTTTCTTCTCTTCTATCAGTGTCCATCCACTGTGATCCTGATCAGAATGGTTGTTAGTGGTAACTGTTGTTGTGTTGTTAAGTGCCGTTGAGTCGATTCTGACCCATAGCGACCCTGTATAGGGTTTCCAAGGAGCAGCTGGTGAGCTTGAACCACCAACCTTGCAGTTCAAATGACTTTGCAGTCTGATGCATTAGCCAACAGCGCCACACCAGAACTCCTAGTGGTAACTAAGCACTATCTAATTCTTCTGGTCTGAAGGTAGACAAGGCAAATAGACTGCTACTCTGACAGACTAGTTTCTGCTCTGAATATAGTTTGTTTTGAGTAATTTTGAAGAAGATGTGATTAAGCAATTTTGCTCTGAACAGGATGCTGTCAGACAGCAGGAGTAATTCTATGATTGAACAACTTCATCATTTTTGTCTAAGAGGTAGAAGAGACTGAATCGTCACTAGAAACAAGCAACAGCTTCTTTTGTTAGTCAGGATGGGTCATCATTTTTGCAGTTTGCACAGTGTTTTTATGGGTTTGTTGGTGCTCAGATATGATTATGGTTTTTGTCTTGTTCCACTGTGGTCACAGGGTGACTTTGTGTGATGTTGTGGTGGTGGTGGTGGTGGTGGTGGTGGTGGTGGTGATGTGCTGTGGAGTTGGTTCCGACTAACAGCGACCCTGTACAGGGTTTCCAAGGCTGTAAATCTTTACAGGAGCAGAAAGCCTCATCTTTCTCCTGCAGAATAGCTGGTAGTTTCGAACTGTTGACCTTAAGATTTGCAGCCCGATTCGTAACCACTACACTACCAGAGCTCCCTTGTCTGATGTTGGGGTTCTGTAAAATTGTTTACGGAAAACAAGAAAACATTACAGCCTAGCTATTAGCACCAATTTAGCTACAGATGATAGGGCTGCTATTTTTCTCTCTCATATTTAATAAATACTGGTTATTCTTTTCAAAGTAAATAGCTTATCTGGTCTTCTATGATGGCTCCCCTATTGCTACTTTCTGAATCCCCCAAAGCCATATAACACTCAGACTTCTCTCTCCCTACCCACAAACCTACCTACCATCCAATTCCACCAGGTTGAAGACAACGATAGACGCAGAAATGACTAGTGACTGGCCAGCCTCTAGTCCATTAATTCCTGCTAGGATATTGATGGCATTGGTACAGAACACTGCCAGAAGCCCCATGTACACATAGTACAGGATCCCTGGGGGAGAAAAGACAACGTGGAAAGAGGACTCAGGGATATCTTCTGAGAGAAATAGTGAGAACAGAGGACAGGATGAAGGGTCACCAGAAAGGATCTGAGAAGACCCAGGAACACTTGTAGGAGAATACTGTAGGGACCATAGGGACAGTAGGGGCAGGGCTACTCACCCAAGTCCAGGTGCAGACCAAGAAGTGGGCGGAAGGGCTTAGGTACCACAATGGTCGTGTTGCCAAAGTTGGTGAAATAGACCATGAGGAGTGGTAGTGAGGCAGCTGTGGGCAGCAGCAGTTTATGGCGCCAGCGTAGATTCAGAACATCATCCGCAAAGCCCAGGAAGATCATGCAGCAGATAGCAAGGAGGGCACCTATCAGGGCCACAAACTGGGGGAGGCTCGGGCAGGTCCGGGACTCAAACACAACTCCCACTCTACTCCTTTCAAGAATTCCTGCCTTCTCAGTTCCTCTGTCCCTCCCGGAAAGCCCACATAATCCAGCTCCTTCAGGTACCTCCCAGCCCCCAATAGGCAACCGCCCCCACTAACCCACTTACTTCATGGTGGGGGAAGGTCTTACATCGCTCCTCCACAAAGCAATTCAGAAAAGGGAAAGGGATGAAGCAGAAGAGGATGATAAGGAAAACAGCACCGCTGATCACTCCCTGAGATTCTGGGCTGTGGCCCAGCAGCAAAGAGAGTTTCAAGGGGAGAAAAAGGGGCTTGGTCACTCACTAGCGCCGGGGTTACAGTGACCCAAATTGTCTTCTTCCCGCTTTTCTTTTGGGGTGGACAGCACCACTGCTGAAGTACCTGTTACAACCGAGGGCCCCCCACCCCCACCCACTTCTTCCCCATTGCTTATCAGTTCTGTCCTTCACCTCCCAGAATCCCGGGTTGTCTGGGTCAACGCTCGGTCACCTCCCGTGCCCTGCCCGCCCCTTCCCCAGCCCAGGTTCCGTGTGCCTCCCCTCACATCTGCGGCCGGCTGGGTTTGTTGACGTCCAGGCCACAGAGGCGTGCGGCGATGAAGTGGCTACGGAAGGCAGGAATGAGGGTGAGCGTGGCCAGGAATCCTAGCAGCGAACCAATTAAGTTCACCAGCAGCGGCAACTCCGGGAAGGCCCACATGGTGATCCGCCAGGATCTGAGCCGCTGCCTCTTCAGCTAACAGGCAAGCGGGATAGAAGCCCTGGGGCCTCAGCAGAAAGGAGAGGCCGTTTTCCCAGCACGTGTCTTTCCACACCAGCTGGAGCAAAACCCTACAACCCTTGCCCTCGGGACTCCCGCTAGCCACTATAAAGTAACCTTGCCTCTTCCTTGCCGCACCTGACTTACCCACTGTTTCCGCCCGGACCGTCTCTACAGAGCAACTATCGCTTGGGAAGGCGGTAGGCAGCCATTTTTAATGTGGGCATAAAAGTGGAGAGTTATTTTTGAACTATGTCTTTCGTTTGAGAGTTGAGTCATCACGAAAGTATTGAGACAACAATTTTCCAAAGACAAAGGCAAGGGGATACTCTGCTGACATCAAATTAAAAGTATGCAGCCTAGAGCGGAAAAACTTCCTGCCCGGTTCCAAGATGAACGCCTCCTTGTACCACGTGTTCGACACTGCTCTCAAGACCGGTCCACGTCAGTTTCCGTTCCGTCAGTCTTCGCTGCTCTAGTTTAAAGAGCCAGTACCCTTAGGCTAATATGGGCTGCCTCTGGATCTGGGAAGACAGCTAGTGGAACTCCGATGGGTAGGATGAGGAAGTGGAGTAGCTCCTGCTTCTTGTAGAAAACCTGTTGCCTATGTCGACAGAAGCAAATGGAAACGCAACAGACTTCCTGGAAACTCAGCGACGCCTTGGAAGGAGGACGTACAAGCAAATTCTAAAGCCTCTTGAAAAGCCCCTCCCACCCCATGGAAGGAGCTCTGGTAGCGTAATGGTTATGAATCGGGCTGCGAACCTTAAGGTCAGCAGTTCGAAACTGCCAGCTGTTCCGTGTGCGCAAGATGAGGCTTTCTGCTCCTGTAAAGATTTATAGCCCTGGAAACTCTATACAGGAGTCACTATGAGTCGGAACCGACTCCACGGCACATAACCAACCACCACCCCATGTAGTTCTTGTCCTTGATCCAGTACTTTTTCCTCACCTTCCCACCCTCTTCTGCCCCCGCCCTGGCTGTTAGTTGCCAGGCAACCCAGCGGGAGTTGCCTTCAGGTGTTGGTTTTAACTCAGTATTTGGGTGCTTGATATTCAGTGGTCTTGGTTCACTGCTTTTGCCAAGCTCCCACACAGAGGAGGAGGTGTAGGCTGAGACTGAGCGAAAGAGTCAAGAGAGCCAGACCCACACGTGGTTTCTTGTGAGCTTGAGAAACTCCCAAACAGGTTTCATCCAAATGGTTATTAAACCATTTGCTTGGCACCTGTTCCCTACAAATAACAGTTCACCAGCATCTTCATTCCCTTTCATTCTGCCACAAGTTCTTACGTGGCAAATGATTTCTGTTCTTCAACAAATTGCAACCAGAGATTTAGGGAGAGGACTCAAATAGCCTGACATCTTGTCCATTCTTCCAAATATGGAGTGCTCCCGGAGTCAGGGTTGGGTTAACTTTCTTTAGGCCAAAAATAATTCCTCCTTTCCCTCAAAACCAAGTGTGAAATGTCCATTCTATTTGAAGGCCACTCTAATTTAATACATACATATGATGTAATAATACAATAATGTTTGTTGTTGTTAAGTACCGTGGAGTCGGTCTCGGCTCACAGTGACCCTGCACAGGGTTTCCAATAACTTATTTATCATCAGCATTTTATTTTTTTATAAATAATTTTATTTCTTTTATAATAAAATTATATACTCGGATAAGTAAAAAAAAAAGGATTGCTACTAGCATTCCAGCTCATACATGCATGACTTTATTCAAAATAAAACATTTAAGCATATCTCTAATCAGTGGAGACAAGTTCTCTGAGTTGTTTTAGTGTTGTGAGAATGCCTTTGAAAAAAAGAGTTCAGCCAAAACAGTGGCTTCCTATGGGATCTGCTGGGCCAGTTAAATTTGAGGCAGAGAGATTAACTCAGAAGGTTATGGGATTCCATAAGGGTAAATCTTTATAGGTTTTCTCAAAGGAAGGACACAGTATGATCACAGGGGCTTATTATGAAGAAGTGTTTATAAAATGAAAACTGTTCTGGTGAGAGAAAACAGGAAAATTGTGCCAAGGAACTTTTTTCCATCACAATGTGTCTGCACCTTTTTCGAAGGTAGCCAGGGCTGTCCTAGGAGAATTTTGTTGGGAAACCTTACCCCATTTACCCTATAGCCCTGATTTTGCTTCTTCAGACTTCTTATTGTTCCTTAAAGTGAAAGAACATTTAAAAGGAACACAATTTGAGTTCCTTAAGGATGCCAAGAACTGTATGGTATAAACTGAAGAACACAGAATTTTTCAGGGAAGGGTTGTTGTTGTTAAGTATCGTTGAGTCGATTCCGACCCATAGTGACCCTGTATAGGGTTTCCAAGGAGAAGCTGGTGAGATTGAACCACTAACCTTGCAGTTCAAACGACTTTGCAGTCTGACACATTAGCCCACAGTGCCACACCACGCCTCCAGGGAAGGGTTAGAAAGATGAAAATACCACTTTCAGAAGTGAATGGACCTGGAGAGAGAATCAGCTGAGAAGCTTCATGTTTTGATACTTTTGTTTAATGAAGGTTTTTGTGATTTTGCAATAACACTTTTTGACTTACCCTCATATATTATAAGGAGCCATGGTGGTCCCACAATTAAAAGCTCAATTTCTTTTTTTTTTTCTTAAATGTTTTATTGTGAATTATGTGATAGTTTACATGGGAGAACATTAGTTTTACATTCATTCTATTGTATATCATCTCATTGCCATGGTTACAATCCCCTCCATGCAATCCTTCCCCCGTACCCCCCAGGTCTTCAGCACACAGTTGCTCTCCATCTCTGGATCTAAAGTCTCCAGCTGCTCCATTGCTTCACGTCATCATCTCTGCCTCCATTTCAGGCATCACTGCTTCTCTGGGTAGGGTCCCACTCTCTGCTCTTCTTCCTTGATGGTCCTAGGGACCTCCGCTCCTAGACTGAAAAGTTAATTACTCCCCTCCTTACTATAAAACGTCTACCTTTACATTTCCAACCCTCACAATCAGTCCTGATAACAATTATTCACTATTGTATCACAAGAGACCCGTCTGCATTTCATTGCATCAGCCCCGCCTAGACAGATTGAATACTACTCACTGGAGATTCTACCTTCCTCCAGGCCCTCTGGATCTAGGTTCCCACTTGAAAGCTTGTAAGCCAGTCACTTCTTGCCTTTGTAGTCCCCCGCCAATGTCCAAGTTGCCCATCCCTGTCTACTCTGTGTGGAGGGAGTGGGAATGATTCTGGCTGTAAGGACTTGTTCCCTTAAAAGCTCAATTTCTAATCCAACAGTTAGCTGGGTCCACTGGTGGAAGATCTGCTTTTGTAACAATTACAGCCAAGAAAACCATATAAAGCAGTTCTACTCTGTCAGATGCATAATCTGACTAGACAACAATAACCTTGATGTCTAGTACATGGAGTCCTTGATGGTGTACACAGGTAAAGTGCTTGGATATTAACCAAAAGGCTAGTAATTTGAGTCTATCCAAAGATGCCTCAAAAGAAACGCATGGTAATCTACTTCCCCAAAATCAACTACTGAAAACTCTGTGGAGCACAGTTCTCTGACACACATGAAATTGCCACAAATCAGAACCCACTCAATGGCAACTGGCCAGTTTCCTTAATAATATTCCACACAATTTTCAGTAATAATTATCCTGCTGATAATATTTTTCTGTGAGTGTGTGTGTCTGTGCCTCTTAGACTGGAAACTCCCTGGAGGCAAGTGTTTTCTGCTCTACCAGCTGTCCCCAAAGGGTTCTCAGGACAGGCATCTATCTGTATACAGACATCGTCACTCACAGTGACTCTCAATCTCTGAAACAGGGACAGAGGACATTCAGTGCTCATGGAGGTAGTGATTAACTGTGATCAGAGGCAATGATATGAGAAAATCTGAGAGAGTTCAGCAGGTGGAAGAGTGGCAGAGCCTTCCAAACATGGAATAGGGAGAAAGACTCCAGGAGCAGGTGGGAAGGAGGAGCTTACAGGATCCCCAGAGGAGGCAGAAGCTTTTGCCTCTCTTGAGATGACCTGTACATTGTTATCTTGTTGATCAGTAGCAGGTTGAGACTCCCTGGAGGTCTCAGGGACAGTCTGTACCTATTTCCATTTTTATTCGGAGGCCAGTTCTAATAAATCTTCCTTCTCAATCAGCATTGAGAAGCTTTGTCTCTTTTCTGTAGATCATTAGCTAACCCCCACCCCCACTGGAAGAGGGTGGGAGGCTTTATTTATTCAAAGGCAAGCCACTAAGACTTCAGCATCCACATACTACCATCAGAATATGGTTACTTGGATATAGTCTGGATCTTTTTGTTCCCGTGATGGTAAATGAACAATTGATTATCAGACTAATCAGAATAGGAAAAAACAAGCACATGCCTATTAATTTCACCTGAATTTTTTAGACTTTTCTGGTAAAATTCAAAGTCTGGCTGCTGAAGCTGGCCCTAGGATTCATATCATTGATAAGCTGAGTTGTCAGTAGCCCTAGCTGGTCACCTGAATGGAAAAGACAGTGTTTTAAGCACACATTTTTCCTTAAGCCCAAAGTGCCTCCCAATAAGGAAGATCAATCCACTTTCAAGTCTGATTGCCAGACAATGTCTGTGCCTAAAAAGTCAATGAGATGGCTCAGTGTAGTCTGGGAGTGAGATACTAGCAGGACCACATCTGCAGGCCTGTCCATGTAGCTAAGTAACATCTTTTCTTCCCATCCCTCAACCCCAATCAGTTTATCAAAAGTTCTTAGCTGAAAGCCCGCCCTTGTTGTTAAGTACTGTGGAGTCTGTTCTGACTCATAGTGACCCTACACAGGGCCTCCAAGGCTGTAAATCTTTACGGGAGCAGACTGCCTCATCTTTCTCTCGCGGAACCGCTGGTAGTTTCGAACTGCTAACCTTGAGGTTAGCAGCCCGATTTGTAACTATGCTGTCAGAGCTCCTTAAGATCTCCTATTCCAGTGGGTGGCATGAATGAGTTTTCAAAAGATGGATACAATATAGAAATTCTTAGCATTTACAAATATGTTGAATTATTTTGTTAGGCGATATAAAATTACAAAGAATTTGCTAATGCCTACTGTGTGTAGCTTAGTGGTTATGAATTGGGCTGCAGTTCGAAACTACCAGCTGTTCCATGGGAGAAAGATGAGGCTTTCTGTTCCCATAAAGATTTACAGCCTCGGAAACCCTGTACAGGGTTGTTATGAGTCAGAACCGACTCCACAGCACATAACCACCACCACCACTACTATGTGGTGGTAGAGTCCTGGTGTGGTGCTGTGGGTTAATGCACTGGACTGCAAAGCTGTTTGAACTGCAAAGTCGGTGGTTCAAGCTCACTAGCTGCTCCTCGGAAACCCTATACAGGGTCGCTATGGGTTGGAATCAACTCGATGGCACTTCACAACACAACAACAACTGTGTGGTGGTAGTGGTGCTTGTGTGCTGTGGAGTTGGTTCTGACTTATAATGATCTTGTACATGGTTTCCAAGACTGTAAATCTTTATGGGAGCAGAAAGCCCCATCTTTCTCCTGCGGAACAGCTGGTAGTTTCAAACTGCCTGCTGTGTGCATCCCCCAAAACCAAACCAGTTGCCTTTGAGTCAATTCCTACTCATGGTAACCCCATGTATATGAAGTAGAACTGCACTCCATAGAGTTTTTAAGGCTGTGACCTTTTGAAATCAGACCTCCAGAGCTTTCTTCCAAGGTGGGTTTGAACTGCCAACCTTTGAGTTTGTTTGTACTACCCAGGTACTCCACTGTGTGCACAGGGAACTCTTGGCTGAATACAAGGAAGAGAGATATGAGTAAAATAGGGGCCTGCTCTTAGGCAATTTACTGATGAGTGGAAAAATCAGCTATATGGAAAAACAGCTAGACTATGAGGTACAAGGGTAAGTAAAGTGTTGCTACTAGGGTTCCAGTTGATACATGCATGGGTTTATTCCAAACAAAATGTGTTTAAGCATGTCTCTGTGATCAATGGATGGCTGCAGACAAGTTCTCTCAGTAATACACTTGTCTTAGTCTTGTTAGGGTGCCAGCCATCAAAAAGCAGGTCCACTTGGCAACAGTGTCGTCGGAAGGGATTTGCTGGACCAATTAAATTCAAGGCATAGAGGCCAGCTGAGAAGGTTATGGCAACTGTTTTTTTAGGATTCCAAAAGCATAAATCTTGATTTGTTGTTGTTGTTATGTGCCATGGAGTCGGTTCTGACTCATAGTGACCCTGTACAGTGTCTCCAAGACTGTAAATCTTATGGGAGCAGAAAGCCTCATCTTTCTCCCATGGAGCAGCTGGTAGTTCCAAACTGCTGAGCTTGTGGATCGCAGCCCGATTTGTAACCACTACACTACCAGAGCTCCTTAGATAGATAGATTTTTCTCAAAAGACACAGGGCAATCACAGGAGCTTATTGTGAAGATGGTCAAAGAAAATTAGAAACTGCAGTAGTGAAAAAAACGCCAAGAAAGATGCTCTGAGGAATTTTTCTCCCACACCCACGGTAACACACCTGCACATTCTTCGAAGGTAGCAAGGTCAGTCCTATGACAATTTCTTTGGCAAACCTTACCTCATCTACCTTACAACCCTGATTTTGCCCCTTCAGACTTTTTTTTTGTTCTGAAGACTCAAAGACCATTGAGTCCCTTGAGGATGCCAAAACTACCATTTTTAATGTGATGTAAATCAAAGAGTACAGAATTCCTTGAGGAAGGTTATGGTTGTTGTTAAGTGCCTGCCTCATAGCATGTTGCCTCAAGTTGGTTCTGACTCATAACAACCTTCTATAGGGTTTCCAGGGAGCGACTGGTGAGTTTGAACCACCAACCTTGTGACTCAAACCGACCTTGCAGTCCAGTGCTTTCTCTCACAGTGCCACACCAGGACTCCTGAGGAAGGGTTAGAGGGATGGAAACACCACCTTTAGAAGTGTATGGCCCTAGGTGAAAGATAATGTTGAGAAAGAATAGCTTCACATTTGGATATTTTTTGTTTAATGAAGGGTTCTATGATTCTGTAGCAATACTTTTGGCCGTAACCTCTTATAAAGCAGAGTGACATAAACACTAGAGATCTAATGAACTTGTGGAAGGAAGATTGGGAGGATTGTTGAGGGAGACTCATGCAAGACTGAATTGTGAAGCTGTACCTGGCAACATGGGAGCACTTTGGCTCTATAGGATAAGCACTGGACTGTTAACCACCAGGTCAGCAGTTTGAGCCCTCCAGCTGCTCTGTGGGAGAAAGATGAAGCTTTCTGCTCCCACAAAGATTTACAGCCTTGGAAACCATATACAGGGTCACTTTGAGTTGGCACTGACTCAACAGCACTGAACAACAACATCTAGCAACATAGGACAGATATATAAGTGCTCAGTGGAAGTGTTGAGGGAGTGAATCTAAGCATTCAGAGAATTTAGATCTCTGAGAGATTATAAAGAATGGTCCTTGGAGAAAGAGGGTCTTCACAGTAAAATCTTTCACCTGCAAAATTTCCTGTAGAACTTGCTAACCCAGCCCCAGCTACCCATTTCTCTCTAAGCCCTGAGTTCTGGCCCCTGGTTTTCTCCTCTCTTGATTTCCTGTTCCCTTTCCCTTGAAATTACAAACCTAGACTCTAAGAATCTCTATGGTTTCTGAGTTCAGTTATGATATGTAGGTATGACTATAGAAGGGTTACCAACCCACCCCTTCATCCTTCTTTACAGAGAAACCCCGCGGCACACCAGGATACCCTCCCCACTTTGGCTCAGGCACCCTATTGCTGATCTGACAGGTTTTGCTTAGTCCTGCAAACCCACACTTTGGAAGGCTTTGTTTGTTCCCATGTAGTCATTCCTCAGATTACTAAGTGGATTTGGGGGAGAGGGATTTAATACCTTCCTTGCCCACTTCTTGAAGAAAAGGCCTGTGAACCCAAGATTTTCCCATGAATATGTGGAAAGGAGGCTCTTGGGGAATGGGGATTCCTTTGCACCCTTTTTCCTTCCTTTGCTTTCAGAAAGCAATGACTAATCCCAGTCCTATAAGAATTAAATTCATTTTCTGAATTCTAGAAAAGAAAAAAAAAAAAAAGATGGGGCCAGGAGGTTGGGCAGGTGTATCCACACCATTTCTTGGGTACTTGTTGGGATTTCTCATAATCTGGTGGCAGGGACTTGTAGCCGAATCTATTGATAGTCCTGTGCTACATTGCCAGCTCCCCCATCATTACCACCCCCTCTACACGTGTTCCATAGGCAGGAGCTGTTACTATGGAAATACATTATTTTTAAAAACAAAAGCAGCCCTGGGCTTGGGAACTAGCTCCAGAAGAAACCCACACCAGCAGGAAGATTAATAGGGGGTGTTCCTGGGTCCTAGCTCCAAGATGGGGGTATAGTGGTGGAGGGAGTTCAATATATTGTGTTCTATACTCAACCTCTATGACTCAGGTTCCGCCTCCTCTCTGGCATCTACTGGACCACTGCCAGGCTCTTCTATCTGGGAGGGATGCTCTAGCTTCAACAGGAAATGGGCACCAAGAGGCTGCTAAGCTTGGGGGAGTTGGGGGAAGGGGGCGGTGCCTTTCACAGGAGTCACCTCCCCCTTAACCTATAGAAACGATAAGGAGCGCGGGGAAAGGAGAGGCGGTATTTCAGGTTAAGTGAAGCTATGCTTGCCTATGCTGTAGGATCGGGTGAGCTGGAGCACCCGAACCACCAATTTTCCATTTCGGAACCTCCTCCCTCCCGCCTCCTCTCTCAATCCTTCCCTAATAGGTGAACGGCGGGCTCACCAAGCCCCGCCCCGCACGGGTGCGGTTCCTTTAAGTCTGTGTGGGGGCGGGGCAACCGGCGGTGTTGTCAGTGTCAACTCTGCGCACGCAGCCTTCGCTGAGCCGGTGTCGGTCCGCGAGCCCCCGCATCTCTGCAGACTAGAGTCCCCGCCCGGGTTCAACGGGACCCGCGCAGTGGGAGGAGTCGGACGCTAGCCAGAGACTAACCCGGCTTGGACTGCTGAACAGACCGAGAAGGGACTCCGGCTGTGGAGAGAGAGACCTCGGCCTCACAACACTCTTGCATCTCTTTCCCTCGATCCGTGGCACCCACCAGTTCCCGGCATTTAGCCCCGGAGAGCCCGGGAGTCCGCGCGCCCAGCCCCGGGGGAGCCCACCCCCGCCCCGCGGCCCTCCTGGGCCATGCTCCCCCGGGGCAGCGGCTGAGCACGAACCGGGAGCGGGACTGGGATCATAGCCCGCGCGGAGCATGGATCTGGGCTGGGGACAGCGGGACGTGGGCTGGGCGGCCCTGCTGATCCTTTTCGCCGCCTCGTTGATCACGGTAGCTGGCTGGCTGCTGCAGTACGCCCGGGGCTTGTGGCGGACGCGGGCTGGCCGGGGCCAGGGCCCGGAGCTCGCCTTAGTAGCCGAACCCACAGGCTCCCTGCGGGAGCTGGGCATATGGCGTTCGCTGCTGAAGCTGCGGGTGACTAGAGCTGGCGTCCCTGAGGAGCCAGGCGTCCGGGGCCTCCTGGCGTCGCTCTTCGCCTTCAAGTCTTTCCGGGAGAATTGGCAGCGGGCTTGGGTGCGAGCGCTAAACGAGCAGGCCTGCAGAGATGGGGTGAGTTGGAGAGGAGTACCAAAGTGGTCCCTTCTGCCATTCCTTCCAGACTGGGGACTAAGGGTGCTAAAAGGGCATTATGGGAGCTGGGATCAACCTATGAACCAGATGACCCCCTTTCCCCTCTGAGATCAGTGGGTGTATCTGGGGGGGTGGTGGTGGTGGTGGTCAATGTTCCAGATCTATTCCCGTGGGCAAGGTACTCTCTGGGCTCCAAACCTTTTCACAAAGTGTTCTCATAGCAACGCTAATCCTTATGCCTGGTGGCTCTTCCACCGAGCCAGGGTGCTGGTTGGGAGCAGGTGCACCTGCAGAAGGAATTTGCCTGGTCCTCATGCCACCACTCCCAGTTAACAGTTCATGTCCCAAATCCCTGCTTTGACCAGGCAGAGATCCCTAAGGAAACCTGTATTAACCCTCTACCCCTTTCTAATTTTACTGCTTCTGTCAAACACATCCTCCTCCCTGATTGGCCTGCAGTGTTATTTGTTGGGGTTGAAAAGTAGTTCAGGTGAAGACCAGAGTGATAATCTATGTGCCTTTCAGTAGTAGATGGGCCTGGAGCTGCCCCTTGAGGGTCAGTCACAAACCAGCACAGCCTACTTCCTCTCATTGCACCATGGGCATCTATCTAGCCTCCCAGGAAGTGGAGCAGGAAGCCTGGTTGTGGTCATGAGACTAAGGTGGGGTGGGAGCCTCCCTTTTCTGGGCCCCCACTCCCATCCTGGCTCAGCAATCTCTTAATTGCCATTATAGTCCATCAACCCCTTGCTCAGAGAGTTCTGTTTCCAGTCCCCACTGGTTTCGAGGCTACATGCTCTTCTAGTTCCCCAGAGCCCTGGAAGCAGAAGTGGCCACATGAAATTGCTTTGTCTCCTCTGGCCAGCTGGTCAGTTAAAGGTCAGATGGCATATAGCAGTCCACACCTTGAATGAATCTACCCCTCCACCCAGCTCTGCCTGCACCTTGTCCCTAGGTCAGAAGCAACTCCCAGGACAGCTGACTCAGCTGGACATTGGCCTCTTCTGTAGGGTATGGAAAGATTAAGATTCCATGTATCCATCTCACCATTTCCCTGGGCCTGGCCATTGAACAGACAGCTACAGGAGCTGCTCGTACTTTGCCACACAAATGAGCCCTGTTTCCTTCCCTCACAAGATTTAGGAAAAACCTGTTAGCCTAGTCTGGGCCCCCTCCTCAATTCTTTCTATTCTCATCTAGACAGGGTAGGTTGTCCTACCTCTGCTGGGAAAGAATTCGGAAGGAGCTCTTTTAATGCCTGAGCTAAGCAGCTTCTGCTCCCTAATATTACCCTGCTGTCTGCCTTGAGGAATTAACTAGGCCCCTCTGCCCCTGAACCCTCTGAGTTGGCTTTTCTTCCCAAGCCCTCTGGTTAAGTTCCTCAAGGTTGTGCTGAGCTAGTCTTGAAGATTCAAAAATGTGGATAGGTCACACACTTGAGTTTCCAGATACTCATCTCCAGTGTCCTGTATCTCATTTATTTGGAAGCAGGCTTAGCCTCATTTCTTTAGCTTTTACTCTATAATAATTGGCCCTACTTCCTTCATCCTTAACTCTGTCTCTCTTCTCAGCTATTACATGAAGGGGCTCCCACAAATTCATAGACAAATGGAATGAAGTTTATCTTATGTGTGCAACTTCCTTTAGTAGTAGGGTGGAAGGAATAATGAGGAAACAGGAGGGAGGATCCTGAAATTCTAAGAGGAATCCAGGATCTTCTGTTCAAGGTGACCTGGTCTCTGAGGTGGTCTAGCTCCATAGTCCTCAGTGGTTCCTTGGGAGGCAGAGTCTAAGGGGAGCCCTTCATGTCCTAAAGGCCTGAGCCAAGGAGGGGCCAGAAGCCAACCTGCAGCTTAGGCCCTTGCAGTGCCAGAACCCAGCCAGCAACTGAGCAGGCCAGCCCAGTGAGGGAGGAGAAGCAGGGGAGTTCCAGAGACCTGATCCGTGTGGCATTACTCCCTCAGAGCTCCATCCAAATCGCCTTTGAGGAAGTACCCCAACTCCTACCCAGAGCCAGCATTAGCCATGTGACCTGTGTAGACCAATCAGAGCATACCATGGTAAGGGTCTGATGACCACTGCTCTCTTTGGGGCCCAAGAGGAGCTGACCTGGAGGGTTTCCTTGAATCTGGGGGTTCTTAACCTGGAGTTTCTGAATGACTTGGGGATCTAATGATTGGCTTCAGGAGGTCTGGATGTGCCCTGAAATGATTTGCAGAATGTTATACTAGTGTGCAGGTCTATAGTTTTCTGGGATGAGGAGTCTTTGGCTTTTTTACCTGGTTCTTGTAGGGGTATGCAACCTCAAAGAGGCACAGATCCAAGGAAAACTAGTGGGGAAGGGTCTGCTGGACCATTGGCAGGACAGGGCAGGGCAGGACTGAGGATCATTCCACCAGATCTGACCGTGCCTTGCCTGTCTCAGGTGCTGCATTGCCAGCTCTCTGCTGAGGAGGTGTGGTTCCCAGTCTCTGTGACCCAGCAGTCCCCCGCTGCCGTCTCCATGGAGACCTACCACGTCACTCTGACACTGCCACCAACACAGGTGGAGGGGGATGTGGGAACAGAGTTGGGTGTGGGTGGGGGATCGGTTGTGTCATCTTTTGCAATGTGCTTCCTCTCAGGGATGGAATATGGGAAGGGGAGTTGGGATTAGTTGGAGGGATGGAACAAGCATACCAATCCCTTTGCTCCTTGTCTGCAGTTGCAAGTCAACCTGGAAGAAATCCCTGATGAGGGGTTGCTAATATCCTGGGCTTTCACAGATCGCCCAGCTCTCAGCCTGACGGTGCGCCCCAAGCTACAGGCCAGGGAGGTAAGGGGCCAGGACTGGGAGAGAAAAGGCTGAGCAGGGAGGGTGAGGCTGAGCTACAGGTGCCACCTCTGGTTCTCCTCTTCTCTATAGAGAGGCGAGGAGCAAGGAGAGCTCGCCACTATTCAGGAATTGATTGAGGATGCCATAGTCAGCACCCAGCCGGCCATGATGGTCAATCTCCGGGCCTGCTCTATCCCTGGAGGCCCGGTGAGTAGGCACCCAAAGCAGATAGCTTTCATCCTGTTGCCAGGTTACTTTGTCAAAATTCTTGCTCTTTTGACCTCCTTCTGCTCTTAGACACCCAGTGAGAAGTCACCCATAGTGCCCCAGACCCAGCCATCCATCCCCAGACCTACTCGTTTATTCCTGCGGCAGCTTCGAGCATCTCACTTGGGAAATGAGTTGGGAGGTGAGAGCTCTCGAAGTGGCTGGGAACTACCACAGTGGGAGCTCCTTGTTCCCCTGTCAAGGGGACACTCTCTCTGTTCCTCAGTAACTTCCTACCTTTAATCTGGCATCTTCTAATTTCTGGTTCCTCACAGGCACTGGGGAATTGTGCTGTGTAGCTGAGCTTGACAACCCCATGCAACAGAAGTGGACCAAGCCTGCTAGGGCTGGCCCTGAGGTGGAGTGGACAGAGGACCTGGCACTGTAAGGAATGACCCAAGCCCTGGGCTGGGTCCTAGGGACATAGACATAACTAAGATATGACCCTCCTGTTGGGATGACCACAGACTAGAGACAAAGACGGATACATATGAATAACATGGTATAAAAGTTCCAGTCAATGTTGATACAATGTGCTGTGGAGCACTTAGTGGGGGAGATTCATTGCCATAGGAGAATAAAAATCAGAGTGGGCTTCATGGAGGGAGTGGCATTTACTTCACACCGTAGAGCAAGAGTAAGAGAAAAGTATTTTTGGCAGAACAGCTTGAACAAAAGAAAGAGGGTGGTTTGAGATTAGAAGAGAGACTAGAAAGGCAGGGAAGATTTGAATGAGGAGAGGGGTTCTGGTCTCGGGAAGTGAGAATACCAGGAAGGCAAGAATTTATCTGATGGAACATTTGTATCATCTTATTTACATATATATATATATCCGTGTCTTCCTCTAGGAGCCCTGGTGGCATAGTTGGATATGTGTTGGGCTGCTAACTTTCAGTTAGCATTCAAACCCATCACACACTGCACAGAAGGAAGATGAATCTGTCTGCTTCTGTAAAGATTTAGAGCTTCGGAAACCCTAGGGAGCAGTTCTCTGCTGTCCTGTAGGGTCACTATGAGTCAGAATTGACTCTCTGCCTGTAGCCTCAACTCAAGGGTGGGTTTACTCTGCTGATGTTTCTTCTCCCCCTACATCTTGGTCCACAGGGATCTGGCCCCCCATAGCCGAGAGCTGACCCTCAAAGTATTGAGGAGCAGCAGCTGTGGAGACAGTGAGTATGGGGTAGGAGGGAGCACCTTTGGGTGGGTGCTGAGTGGGACTCAGCCATGGGTCCAGCTCACAGTGCTACCCCTTCCCCCAGGTGAACTCCTGGGCCAGGCCACACTACCTGTGGGCTCTCCCTCCAGACCACTATCCCGAAGACAGGTGTGTCCACTCACCCCAGGGCCAGGGAAAGTCCTGGGACCAGCAGCCACCATAGCAGCAGAGGTGAGTAGATAATCCATGGGAGATGGTGGAGGACACAGGAGAAGAGCCGTCTCTGAGGAATGGCCTCTTTGCTCTTCTACCCTCGCCCTCGGCAGCTTCAGTATGAGGAAGGCTCCCCCCGGAACCTGGGCACTCCCACTCCTTCTACTCCACGCCCTAGCATCACACCTACCAAGAAGATTGAGCTCGACCGGACCATCATGCCTGATGGCACCATCGTCACCACAGTCACCACTGTCCAGTCCAGGCCCCGAGGAGATGGCAAATTAGGTAAAGAGGAGGCTCCTGGAGCCCAGCTATTGCCTGAGGTCTTGGACTACAGACCCATAGCAGGGAGAGGGAAAGGGAAGGAAAACTCATTCCAGCCCACCCAGTTTTCTGACACTCTGTTCATCTCTTACCACATGTAGCTCACTACCTCTGTCTCTCCTAGACTTGCCTTTACCCCCTCCATTTCCTCAACTATTTCTCTCACCCTTCAATCCTCTGACTACTAGTTCCACATATGAACTCTTGCACTTTCATAGTCCCACGTCCCCTTCTGTCTTTTCCCATGGCTTTTCCTTTCCCCAGTCCAGCTGGCTCTACCCTCACCCCTCCAGCACTCATTGGGATTCTCCAACAAACCCAGTGGCCCCTGTGCCATCTCTCCCACCTCAGAGTCCCTCCATTACATCTTACCCATCTCCAGGGGCTCTAGGGAATTTTTCCTACATCCTATGGTTCCCTGTACACTTCATGCACACTTAGCACCTCACACCCTCAAGTGTACCCAACGGCATTTTCCCACATTTCCACTGTCTCCTGTGGTACCTTTTTGTCCCCACTGTCTCCTGTGATCTATTCTCACACTTTTAGTGACTCTTATGGCATCATCTTAGTCACCTGTCTCCTGGCCTGTGAGTCAGCCAAAGTCTGTGTCTCAACAAAGACGATATGGGGTGGGGGCCACTCTAAAGCCCCTCCCAGCTCACTGACCCTCCCCCACCCACCAGACTCCCCCTCCCGCTCCCCGTCCAAGGTGGAGGTAACTGAGAAGACGACAACTGTGCTGAGTGAGAGCAGCGGCCCCAGCAGTACCTCCCACAGCAGCAGCCGTGAGTGGGGACTACGGATCGATGAGGGTTGGTTGGTACTGGGAACCCCAGAGTCAAAGAAGACTTTGAGTGGGGTACGAGTTCAAGTCCCAGAAAGAACTGGTAATAGAAGTCAGACTATCTATCTTATGAATCCCCAGCAGGGGAGAGCCACCTTTCCAATGGTTTGGATCCTGTAGCAGAGACAGCAATTCGCCAGCTGACTGAGCCGAGCGGGCGGGCGGCCAAGAAGACACCCACCAAGCGTAGCACTCTGATCATCTCTGGTGTTTCCAAGGTAATGGGGCTCTGGAAAGAGAGAGCTGGAGTCGGGAGAAAGCCCTAATGGGTCACTCAGTTTAAATTTGTCACTCCTGCCAGGTGCCCATTGCACAGGACGAGTTGGCACTATCTCTGGGCTATGCGGCATCCTTGGAAGCCTCCATGCAGGATGATGCAGGGAGCAGCGGAGGTCCTTCTTCACCTCCTTCAGACCCACCAGCCATATCCCCTGGACCCCTAGATGGCCTGTCCAGCCCCACAAGTGTTCAGGAAACAGATGAGACAACACGTTCAGACATTTCTGAGAGGCCGTCCGTGGATGATGTTGAGTCAGAAACGGGGTCTACTGGTGCCTTGGAGACCCGCAGCCTCAAGGACCACAAAGGTGGGTAGATATTGGCAGGACCCTCCCCTCCTCCCCTACCCTTTTGCCTCTTTTTTTATACTCCTTTTTATACCCTGCATCATGACCTGGAGTCCTGGTGTAGCGCTGTGGGTTAATGCCCTGGACTGTAAAGTTGGTTTGAATCGCAAAGTTCAAGCTCACCAGTTGCTTTGTGGAAACCATATACAGGGTCGCTATGGGTTAGAACCAACTTGACGACACTTAACCACAACAACAATCATGACTAGGAGTGCCTGTTGTTGTTAAGTGCTGTTGAGTCAGTTCTGACCCATAGCGACCCTGTACAGGGTTTCCGAGGGTGTAAATCTTTACGGGAGTAGAAAGCCTCATCTTTCTCCCGCGGAGCGGCTGGTAGTTTCGAACCACTGACCTTAAGGTTCACAGCCCGATTCGTAACCACTACGCTACCAGAGCTCCTTAACTACTTACCAAAAGATTGGCGATTTGAATCTATCCAGAGACATTTTGGAAGAAAGGTCTGGCAATCTACTTCAAAGAGGTCACAGCCTTGAAAACCCTTTGGATTGTAGTTCTGCTCTGACAGGGGCTTTAAAAAGTTCATGAAAAAATGGAATTGAAAGATAATGGAATTTTTCCAGGATCTTTTGAAAGTCCCCTTGTACATGGGGTCACCATAAATTGGAATGTACTTATCAGAAACTGGTTTAGTTTTTTGGTTATTATGACCTAGGCCCCACACTAGGAGCCACAAGCCAACATGCCTTCTCCTTCGTCCCCTAAGGGATTATCTCAGAGTTCCCAACCTGGAACTGGAGTCCACACCCCCAAACCCACTGCCATCAAATCATAGCCATCTAGCTCATAGCTACCATGTAGGACATACTGCCTCAGAGGCTTCCAAGGCTGTTAATATTACAGAAGCAGACTGATGCAGCTTTCTCCCATGGAGGGACCGGTGGCTCCAAACCATTGACCTTTTGGTTAGCAGTTGAGTGCTTTTACCACTGTGCCACCAGGGCTCCTAAGCTAGAGTTGTTAAGTGCCATTGAGTCAGTTCTGACTCACAGCAACCCTGTATCTAGAGTTTCCGAGGAGTGGCTGGTGGGTTTGAACTGCCAACCTTGCGGTTAGTAGTTGGTGGGTTTGGACCACCAACCTTGAAGTTAGAAGTCCAGTGCTTATTCTACAGCATCATACCAGGACTCCATAGGACGTGCAATTGGATGCCTTCATTCTATGGGTATGCCAAATGATTCCTCTTTGCCTGGGTTTCTTTTTTCCTAGTTCTAGGCACCTGTCTTCCGTTTCCTTCATTCTTTTTTCTCCATTTCACTCTGCACCCTCTCTAGTATGTGCTTGAAAAAAAAAATCGTATCCCAAGTCAATTCAAGGATTGCCCCTCTGGTAGTACAGTCTGTGGACACCTGTGGTACTTCTAACTTGCTTGCTCCAAGACACCTTCATCCCTCTGACACTGAGTCTTTCAACCACAAATCTAACTACTCACTGCTTGGGATAATGAGATTTCTAAATCCAAAGTCTGCTGTGTAAGCACCTTCCTCATTGTTAGTCCTGAATTTACCTCTTTGAAGCTCCCAGAGTTTTGCCTTCTACTCACATCCTGGAATTCAGTAAACAATCAGTATAGACTCACCTGTTCCCTTCATGGTTTTATAGGCTTAGGAACACCCATAGCTCAGCCTTTGTCTTTCCACACTACAAAGGCACAATCCTCTCAGCCTGTTCTCAACGCGCCTCCTTAGGGACAGGACTCATACAGATAGATTCCCCAGAGCACCACCATTTTTATCTTAGGAAGGATAAAGAGCATGTTTTGTTTCTACTTTCTTTCCTGAGGAAGGCTGACTTCTAGGACAAGAGAATGGTTTTGTTTCACATTTTCTATCCCTCTACCCACTGCCCTTTCTCTGCTCCCCACCTCACCCTACCCCAGCCATGCTCCTCTAGCTGCCGCCTCAACTTCCCCTCTTGCCCACAGTGAGTTTCCTGCGCAGTGGCACTAAGCTCATCTTCCGCCGGAGGCCCCGACAGAAAGAAGCTGGTCTGAGCCAATCACATGATGATCTGTCCAACACAACAGCCACGCCCAGTGTCCGAAAGAAGGCTGGAAGCTTTTCCCGCCGCCTAATTAAGCGCTTTTCCTTCAAATCCAAACCCAAGGCCAATGGCAACCCCAGCCCTCAGCTCTGAGGGCCCTCCTCACCTCCTGAGCCAGGAGAGTACAGGAATTTTCTCAGCCCATCCTCAAATCCTCTTCCAAACCGCTCCCTGGATTTCTAGGCCAGGAAAGCCCTCTGGGTTCCAGGAAGCCTGGTCCACCTGGGCCATGGGGCCAGTTGGAAGGGTGCTTGCAATGGGAAGTGTGTGAGAGGTAGCACCCGTTGCAGAGAACATAGGAGAGGCAGTTAGGAGTAAGAAGGGCTCTGTTCTGGCACATGTGGGTCTTCCTCAGAGCCTTTTGCTTCCTGTTGTTGACACTGGACCCTCAGAGAAGTCCCAGGGTGCTCAGCTCCTCAGCTGATCCTTCCTCCCTTATTTATTCTCTTTTCTATTTATATGTGTGGTCCGGGACCTTCAATGAACAGATAACAGAGAGCATCTTTCCCAGGTGACTGTCTTTTCTGTCCCAGCAGGGTAGGCAACTCCCTTTGGGATGGAACCCCCATGCCTCCCTGAGGTCCCCACTTAGACCAGCACCAGTGTCTGCCTCAAAGGACACTGGCAGCTCCTAGAAAGCTGGGCCGGTGCCCAAGATGGGGGGCAGGTACTCCCCGCCTCCCTGCTGCCTCTTCTGCTCCACATTCCTCTCTCCCCTTTATTACTGTTTTTGTACTCGATGCCTTCTCTGTAAGCAGTGGCTCTGTTGGCAGGAGAGAGCCAGGAGCCTGGTGGGAAGCCTTCCTAGAGAGATGATTGAGGGGCTTTATTTAAAGACTGTGATAATGGAGCAGGAGCAAGTCTGCACCACTGAACATGGGAGATGATGACTTCCATTGCTGCGTGATGATTTGGGATTTAATTTATTAAATAAAAGTCAAATTGGAGTTTATCCACTGGATAACTGGTTATTTTTTGAAAGGGGAGTAGGTAGTCAGCCAGGCCTTAGTGGTGATGGAGGGGAAACATTGGAGGGAAAAGCTGAGACATTGAGGTGGGGTAGATGACATGTTTAATGCGTGAGTTAAGAAGTTCTTACAGGCAAGATGGGGCAGAGAGAGAGAGGCTAAGAGAAACAAGAGTCTTTGAAAGATGAACTTGCCAGAGAAAGAAGTCAGTTGGCTGGTGCAGATCTTCACTCCCCTTTCTTGAACAGGCTGTTCCTTCCAGGATGTAATACCACAGTCCAGAGCATGGACTATGGAATTAGACTTCCTAGGTTTAAGACTCAGCACGTCTAATTAATTACCTGTGTAATCTTAGGCAGGTTATATAACATGAGTGATTCAGTTTGCTTATCTGTAAAATGGACACTATGATAATAGTACTATCTCATTCAGTTATGGGAAAGAAGTACATATAAAGTACTTAGGACTCTGCCTACACAGAGTCAGAGATGAATCAAGTGTTGGCTATTGCCTCAGAAGAGACAGATTAGGAGGGGGAAGTCTTACAAGTATTTCATCATCATAAAAAGTCTTTTATTTTGCAAATGGGAACAAGTTGCAAAGAGTTATAGATAAGTATACTTAGCAAACTCTTATCAGGAGGCTTCAGAAAGTTCATGGAAAAATTCCATTATCTTTCAGTTACATTTTTCATGAGCTTTTTGAAGCCCCTCACACATTCCTAAGGAACTCTGGTAGCGTAATGGTTACAAATCGGGCTGCTAATCTGACGGTCAGCAGTTCGAAACTACCAGCTGTTCTGCGGGAGAAAGATGAGGCTTTCTGCTCCCGTAAAGATTTACAGACTCAGAAACCCTATGCAGGGTCACTATGAGTCAGAACTGACTCCATGGCACATCACCACCACCACCATCATATATTCCTTATTCCAGTTTCCCGGGATCTTACACAGAACATGGCCCAGGTGATAAACTACTGCAGGATGTCAGGGACAACATAGGACCCGATAGGAAACTTGTCTGCTGCAAACACACTAAGTGACCTTGAGTAGAGCACTTTCCTTTCCTGGACCTCAGCTTCCTCATCTGTAAAATGAAGGGGGGTCTAGGTAATCACTCAGGTCACCTCCAGCCCTGACAGTCTATGATTTACCTATATCATAGAGAGCTCAGGGCACATGACTTAGAGTAGGCAGGATGGAATTTCTAATATCCTCATGCTAGTGTTCAGGAGTCCTGGTGTGGTGCTGTGGGTTAATGCGCCAGACAGCAAAGTTGTTTGAACTGCAAGGTCGGTGGTTCAAGCTCACCAGCTGCTCCTCGGAAACCCTATACAGGGTCACTGTGGGTCAGAACTGACTCGATGGCACTTCACAACAACAACAAGAGTTCACACCAGTCAACAGGCTTTGGGATTTCTGGAAGACACTGTTGTTGCTAAGTGCCATTAAGCCAGTTCTGATCATAGCAACCCTGTATAGAGTATAGGGTTTCCAAGGAGAGGCTGGTGAGTTTGAACTGCTGACCTTGTGGTTCAAACCGGCCTTGAGGTCCAGTGCTTATCCTACCGTGCCACACCAGGGCTCCGGAAGCTGTTGAATAAAGCTTTCGTTTTTATATAGTGAAATGCTTGACTCTAGGTTGTGAAAACACAGTTGAGATTTAGCAAGCTATTTTCTCCAATCTAAGAAATGCAACTCTTAGAGGTCGACAGAGGAGCAGTTTGTTTACTTATTGACCAATATGACAAGATAACAAAAACACACTGACCTTGAAATTGCACAAGAAACTTCTATTAAAGGCAGAGCAGGTATTCAAACCTATGGATTGAGTAGAATTGGAAACTACTCAGCTTCCAGCACTAAGCTCCCCAGAGCTCAATGGGATCACATATTTTATAGCATCTGATGGCATTTCAAAATAGGCATGGAAAAACGAGATCCAAAAGAAATATAAAATACAGTTTAATCAACTTTACTCATTTCACACTTTTAGAAGAGCTGTTCTTTCTGTGACTATAAATTATGCTTCCCATTTTTGTGGCAACTTTTTTTTCTTTTTATTGTGTGAAGGTTTATAAAGCAGATCATCAGTTTTACATTCAGCAAATCATATACTTTGCTTCATTCAAATGATTGCAATCCCCTCTATGTATCAATAGTTAACAGTATTAACTTCTCTTTCTTTGACTCTTGCATTCCTCCCTGAGTCTCTTATTTTCTTCATTGTTTCTCTGCTAACCTCCTTATTGTTGTATACTGCCTGTCCTGTCACCCATGTTAACATGCGTCTACTCTCTAGCACATGAATAATGTGCCCTCCCCTCTCCCTCCTTAACCATCATTGATTGTGTCTTTTATTAAGAAAATATTTTCTTAACTTTTTTACAATGTTGGTATCATGCAATATTTGCCCTTTTGTGACTAATTTCACTCAGCATAATACCTCCATGTTGTGAGGTGTTTCTGCAGATCCATTGTTACTCTTCAATGTTGTGTATTATTCCACTGAGTGTATGTACTAAAATTTGTTAACCATTCTTCTGTTAATGGGCAGTCAGGTTATCTTTTTTTTTTTTTAATGTTTTATTGTGAATTATGTGATAGTTTACATGGGAGAACATTAGTTTTACATCCATCCTATCTTATATCGTTTCATTGCCATGGTTACAATCCCCTCCATGCATCATCAACCAACCAAAGGGTATACACTATAAGCCTGCAGCCCGGTCGTCAGCACACAGCCCCTCTCCCTCCCTGTGTCTAATGTCCCCAGCTGCTTCATCTCTTCACTTTAAAAATTTTTTTTTACTGTGAATTGATAGTTTACATGGGAGAACATCGGTTTTACACTCATCCTATTGTATTTCATTTCATTGCAATGATTACAATCCCCTCTGTGCATCAGCATTCAACCGTATTTGCTTCTATTCCTCTGTTTTGCTTTTTTTTTTTTTAATGTACACAAAACCACTCAGGAATATATAATCATTTAAACAACAAAGGGCACATTCTGCAAGCCTGCCTCCTGGCTGCCAGCAGACAGCCTTTCTCTTTCCATAAGTCTTCAGTCCTCAGCTGCTCTATCTCTTTATGTCCTCATTTCTGTTGTGGCAACTTTTGAAAACAAATGAATTATCAAGGCAAAATTGTGGCATGTTTTCAAGAGAGGAAAAATTGAGGTGGAAATATACTATGTGAGACAGCAGCAAGGCATTGCCTCAAATTTTGGAAACACAAATTTCAGAACTTTTGCTCTGTAATCTCTCTTTGAATCTACACAGCTGTGAATGAAGTCATTTTTTTTCATGGAATGTCTAAAGGAACATTGAGAGTCATCAGAGGTAGAAATCTGGAACAAGATAAACTTAATTAAATATGGAAGACTGAAGAATTGATGCATTTGAATTCTAACGTTTGTGAAGGCTACTGAATACACCATAGAGTGCTAGAAGAACAAAGAAATCTATTGGAAGGATAAACAGAATGTTCCTTAGAAGCAAGGATGGCAAGATTTTGTCATGTTTTGTCATGTTCTTTGGACAAGTAATTTCCGGAGAAGGACATTATGCTTGGTAAAGTATATAATCAGCCAAAAAAAAAGGAAGCCCCTTAACAAGATGAATTGATATAGTGTGTATAACAATGGGTTAAACATAGCAATGAATGTGAAGGTGGCACAGGACTGGACTCTGTTCTTGTTCTGCCCAGTCCCGCCCATAGGGATACTGTGAGTCAGAACCAACTTGACAACACCTAACAAGATGAGCCTGGCATTTTATGAAGTTCTGCTGTAACTATACTTTGAATGACAAAGTTGACAAAATATATTTTATGTTATTTTTTAATTATATAAAAAATGCCTGTTTTTTTAATAGAGACCAGTTACTAATAGCAGAACTCATGCATAAATTTCTGCTTGCATGGTCTTTTATTATTAGTTTAGCTTTTTATTGTAAATTGAGTGAAGGTTTATAGACAAGATCATAAGTTTTACATTCAACAAATCATATACTTTGTTTCATCTCAATGATTGCAATCCCCTCCATTTAAAAAGAGTTATCCCACTTCCTCCCTGTGCTTCCTATTTGCATTCCACCCACCTTCCTATCCCCTCTCAATTTTGT